CTATATACAATCACAATAAATTTGTTATTCATATATTTTATAACACTTCATTGAACAATGTTTTACTAAGTTTATACATGACCACCATCATCATTGAAATGCAAACAAAAACATCCCATTTTAATTATTGTTATACATGCTGTACATTTTCACACTGATATAGAGCATTTGCACATGACGTCACAGCCACCATGTTGGTGTTCCAATTCAAAATAATTTTAATTAGACTCTTGTCTGGAACACCAACATGGCCGCCATGGCTTTTGTTGAGTTGGCCCGTGGGGAATGAGTGCAAACGCTCTATACAACAAGGTCTGAATCTTCAGACACTACAAAACCGCAGCCTAAAAATCAAAACGCCTGGGGACGAGGAGCCCTGGCAAAACCAGCATATCCATTAATCACAATAAATGCAATTTGTGCATCTGCTTCATATGGCGCCATTATGTACTGAATTGAATATCTTTTTCACAGCAAAGCTGAAAGGTGGATAATAACAAATTGTTATTTACTGCACACAACTAGTTTGCAATTTACTCTCTATAATTTTTTATGCATTTGTACATAAAAGGGGTGTCATTTAAAAACAGGAATTTGAATTTTGCAAAACAAATTGATCAAACGTCTGATTAGCAAGGCATTGGCATGGATTATAAATTGTTGTGACATTCCCGTGCACCAATAAAATGTAAATTCTGGGGAGGGGTATAGGCAAGGTGTAAGGATTTGGAATTTTTTAAAAAATTTTTGGGTAAATTCTAGTGAGTGGAAGGCTAGAACAAAGTTCTTGAAAACTAGATAGTATGTGGTTCAATTTAAACCACATCATTTTTCTTACTCTCCATGTATTGTTATGCAAGGTGCTTTTCTGCCAGCTGCAAATTGCCATTGCAATGATTTTTTATTATTTAGGCGCTACTGTATTTATATGATCTTGGATACTAGAGACACCCAATCCCCACCCGAGACAACTTTACTGCACATTTAATCTCTTCCTATGAGAATGGCTCTAAGTACGAGATTGTGACTCCATGGAAGCCGAGACAAACATGTAAACACATGGACAAAAGTTGTCCCTCCTACAAGGGTAACCCTGTTTTGTAAACAGGGTGTCCCTACTGCCAGGGTGACCCTACCAGCCCAGACGAGTTGAAAACTTTCCATATAAACACTTGCGTTTAAATGTTATATAATAAATATAATTTTGCCTCTCCCAGGGTAGCTCGGAGGGTAGAGAGTGTCTCTATTACCCGAGATCATATAAACAGCACCTCAGTCACATTATTATCCCCTACCCCTCAACATCTCTATTCAATGCTGCATAATATTTACAATATTTGTGATCATACCAAAAATTGAATTGGCATGGCATACAAAATATGTGAAGATTATGATTTTCATCCCATAGTTTTTAGATTAGTCAAACTATAGAAATTGTGACCGATGATGGCATTGGAAGTACTAAAATGATGGGCAAATTCTATTAAAGCATAACTAAAATTACATGGAATTTTACAGTAGCTTGCATATTGTATATGTATTAAATAATATAATATAGCAGAAAAGTTTCCGTGTCTATGCATACTTTTACCGTATGTCCGCAACCCTGAAATATTTGCATAATTATAATAACAATACAGTCATATAAAGAACAATAAAGTAAATAGAATATACATAAGTTTAGCGATTGAAACACTGCACAAACCAATAAGTAAACATATAAATAAATTAAAACAAACATACTTGCGATCAACGCCAAACCTTTGAAACACACAGCCAACGCTTTGTGCAGTCAGCATGATGCATCGTCTGCACAAACTTTTCCAGAAGTTCTTTGACATGTACTGCCACTGTTGATTCTTTCAAGAAGGGCAATAGACAATTTTATATACCCATCGCTCGGCCGTGCACAGTGTTTTCACCTCGAACGTCAGAACGCTAATTAGTGAATTTTGTATTTTACTCATGATGCATTGCGGTCGTAGTGCGATCACCGCCTGGGCTAGGCTGTAGTCATTCGACGACGATTTCAGATGTTTGGGATTCTTTTGTGTCTTGGCGAAATTTGATCTTAAACATGTACAATATTAGCGTAATTTCATTTTCGTAACAAACATTTTCTATTTCATTGCCTCAAGATTTTGTGATTTTATTTAAAGTTTCATGGTTGCTATGTTACTGGAGCGTGATTATTCATAACTTGGTTTCAACTTCAGGGATTTCCCCTCATTTCCATCAACTGCGTGAATATTAACTAAGCTGGTGTGTTGGTGTTGCCCCTGTCCATGTGAAACATTTATCGAAACTTCATGAACTATCAACTATGTCTATAGCTAACAAACAAACATTAGCAACAGCTAAAAATCTAATTATAATTCTCTCATCAATTCTCTGCGTGTGTCTAAAACTGCAACCGAGTCATATCAATTGTCATCCCGACACTAACTCGCCGTTGGGAAATATAACAATTAGTCTTAATCTTGCAATTCTACCCGACAAACTCTGTTTTGTTTGGATTTCAACTCGAGATACAAATTTGAGAAAATTCAACCTTCCGAAATATCATCGCTACGGTATAGAACTACGGACCACCAAGTTTTCAAGTCATGCACTTATTTGCATTTTACTATCTGGCGATATTGCTACTAATCCTGGTCCTAACACTGCTCCTTCTACCGGCTTAAATGTTCTTTATCTGAATGCTCGAAGTATTAAAGCTTTCGTCCCCCTTGATGATGACCCTTCACGCAAAATTTGCAAAATGTCCATTCTACAGGAGTTGGTTTATAGTAATGACTATGATGTTGTCTCTATATGTGAAACATGGCTGAACGACTCAGTTATGTCGGCAGAAATCCTTACGGGCTACAACATTTATCGGAAAGATCGACCTGGCAGAACTGGTGGAGGTGTCCTAATTGCTGTTAAGTCTGACATCCGATCCAGTCATCGAAAAGACCTCGAGAGAGACAATATCGAATTCGCTGTTGTTGAACTCGTTAAGGATTACAATAAATCAGTTATTCTCTACACAGTATATCTTCCAGAACTTCAACAAGATGAACTGCATCAACTCAATTCATCTTTACAAGAGAATTCTGAATCAGCTTCTGTGGTCGTAGTTGGCGATTTTAACCTTCCCACCCTCAACTGGTCACCTGATGAATCTTCTCTTGAACACAACTGGGGATCAACAGAGAACAATGAATTCTGCATCCATATGAAAGATAATTTTCTCCAACAGTTTATTAAAGGGCCCACTCACATAGCAGGAAACAAACTCGATTTGCTACTATCAAACTGGCCTGAAATGATTGAGCATGTTTCCACTCTCACCCCGGAGGAAAGCACATTTCCCTCTGATCATTACCTAGTGAATTTTTCCATACGGCTGAAGTTTAAACGAGCAAGGCGTGTGCAGCGCAAAGCTTACAATTACAAGAGAGCAGATTTTCAAGAACTTCATAGACTTTTACAGAATGCTACACTAGATATACCACTTTCTGACAATATTAATATTTCCTGGTCTCGGTGGAAGGATTTATTTCTAGCTGCAGTAGAAAAATGCGTTCCTGTTAAAGTCATTAAAGATACAAACTCTCCTCCCTGGATTGATGGAGAAATCAGGCACCTAATGCGAAAAAAGTATCGAGCTTTCAAAAATTATCGCAAAACTAGATCCGAAGAACGTAAAAAAAAACTCAGATCTCTAAGTAATTCCATGAAAATCCTTGTTCGACGTAAACATCGTGATTACCTTCACAAAATCCAAGGTTCCTTCAGTGAAAATCCTAAATTATTTTGGAACTATCATAAAGCAGTATTACACCATCGCTCAGGGGTTGTCTCTATTATTACGAGTAATGAAATAACAGCCAAGACACCAGCAGAGAAAGCTGAACTATTTAACACGTACTTTTGCTCTGTTTTTACTTCACCCAGCGCAGTGTCCAGTTTGCCCTCTTCCCCCATAAGATCGGATATAGAAATCTCTGATATAGAGCTAACAGTGGACGAAGTGTCAGTTTGTTTGTCTAGTTTAGACACATCTAAAGCCACCGGTCCTGACGGGATACCCGCCGCATCCTAAAGGAATGTAGCACGGAAATCGCACCAAGTCTTTGTACTTTGTTCAATCACTCTCTACGCATTGGGCATTTCCCTGCAGGATGGAAAAATGCCGACGTAACACCAGTCCATAAGAAGGATAATAAAGAACCTGCTGAAAATTACAGACCTATCTCTTTATTGCCGATAGTAAGCAAGGTGATGGAACGGTGCGTCTGTAACAGGTTCTATTCCCATGTCTCACATCTAATTACTTCTCTTCAGCACGGTTTTATGCGTAATCGATCATGTGTAACACAGCTTCTGTCTGTTCTCCACTCCATTGGAAAATCACTTGACCAAAACACTCAAACAGACATTTTATACTTGGATTTTGTTAAGGCTTTTGACTGTGTAGACCATGTTATTCTCATAGAAAAGCTTAAATGGTATGGCGTAACGGGGAATCTTCTTGGTTTACTTACAAGTTGTACATAATTTAGACTCGGCGAGTACTTTCAATGAAGAAATGTTCTTTTCATTAAAATAATCAATATTAAAATCTCCAAATATAACGTCAATATCCAAGCTAGTTATTATGTAATGTAAGCAAGCTATAAATGGCTGAATGTCACCTCCGTGCTTACGATAAAGCAGTAGACAGGATAAGGTATTCCCATCAGAGCTATTAAGCAAAAATCGTAAACCATTTATTGAAGTGAAATATTCTGTATCACATAGAGTAATAGTGTCTTTGTAGCAAACAACTAGACTTAAGAATTTGTCAGAATTATGATCTTGTCTGTGTATAGAAAAATCGTTAAGGATTGAGTTAATATCATCATTTGGTACACTGGTTAAAAGTTGAGTTTCTGTAAGGGCAAACACATCACATTTGGACAAGATTGGGTCATCTCTTAAGTCAAGACTGTGTTTTTTAAATGATCTAATATTTAAAAGACAAATTGAGACAGTTTCTGTGCTACATAAATCTGTTGTAATATGCTGGTGGAAACTCGAAGTTTCACGCAATCTCTCGTATTCTTTCTGGACTTTAGGATTAGCTCGAATATGTTTACTTTCAAGTGTTCCTAAAATATGCAGGCAATTTAAAGACGTTGCTCGACTAAGTGCTACATATACCTGACCATAGTAAAAGTACCTTTGATTTTTAAATCAAAACTGACGACAATGTTATCTAGAGTAAGACTTGTACTTTATGAACAGTGCACGCCCATGCGAGAGTTACAGGAAATTGTAATCTTTGCATTTCAGGAGATGATGGTTTTCCTGGTCCGACTTTAATTCTCGCCAATACAGGTTTGATAGGAACAAGATTGTTTTCTCCTGCAAAACTACTGGACGAATTTCGTACAGCAGATACTCCAGCATTACTGTCATCAAATTTAACAAAAATTGTGGAGGGTTTATTGCTAACATTGTCAACTGAAACTTTTATTACTGTACCTAACTGACCATTAATTAGTCGATCGCTAATATCCACATTGGTTGTGAGCATAACTCTCGCATTTTCTTTGATCAGGATTTTAGTGTCAAGCCCGATCGATATCCTGTTTTCTAACATGAGGTGGGAATTGATCTAAAGCTTCTAGAACGTACTGTGGTGATTGAATTTGTTCTAGGCGATCAATATTGTACTCATCTACTGGTGCATTTTCTGCAAAGATGTGTAATGCATCCGATGGATAATTTTCATCCGCTGGAGTTATTGTTCTGGATTGAATACACCTGATGTCATCGTCTGTATGTGAAGCGGTGCGCACTCTATTTAATAGCTGAGTGAAGGCAAGGTCATCTTTTTGTCTCATGATCTGTGTTAGTTCTGCCATTTTAAAGACATGCCAGGGATGGTGTAGATTGGATGTATCATTCTTATAATTTGAAAATGTTGTTGCGCTTCGAATTGGTGGTAGCTGAAAGAAATCTCCGAAAACAAGCACACTGATTCCTGCAAAAAGTTCACTATTAGGTGTAACAAATATTTCTTTCAATCTCTGGTGAATATGCAGCAGACCCATGTTTGAGACCATCGATATTTCATCAATTGTGATTAGTTTTAATTCAGCCAAAGACAATCTCATTTGTGTTCTTCTCTGGTCAGACATTGCAGGTACATTATTCCCACATTCTCTTGGAATTGCTAGAGCAGTATTTACGGTTCTTCCGTTGATATTTATGGCAGCTACACCAGTTGGAGCCATTAGCAATACAGAAGGTAATTCAGGATTCATTGGAGCATGTCTAAATGTTTTTGTAACAGTATGATATATAGCTTTAATTAAGTGTGATTTCCCTGCACCTCCACCTCCAGTAACAAAAACATTTATTGCATCTACTTTAGATGGTTTAAGGGTGTTTAGGTTGGCCATCTTATTTCTACACCAGGAAAGAACTACGTCATATGCATAACGTTGTTTGTTGTTTAATGATCTTACAGTTTTTCGTAGATCGCCGTCACTGATTTCTAAGGGTTGATTATAAGAACTTATTCCAGAAGATGGTTGAACTGATACAGGATTTGATGCAAGATGTTGTGGCAACGATTCGTTAAAAGACTCTGTTTCATCAGAATCGTCAGGTAAACTTTGTTGCAAATCTTCATTTTCCTGGTCATTTATTGGATCATAGGAGTGAGTTGGTACGACATCAAAGTTACGTAATCTTTCTATTGCTTCATTAATAGCATCACCATCTGGCTCAAATATTTCTTTGTTGCATTGTACTACCTCTTGAACATCTGGCTCATAAAACTTAGATATGTATGTTTGGTTTTCGCCAAAGAGTTCCTGCTCGTTACGCCACGGAAAATACAACATGAGAAGGTGGTGAAAATATTTTTCAGGTTCTTTTGTTTTGTTTGGAGTGTGATATC